TTCCCTGGCCGGGTCCTTGGCCGGTTCCCTGGCCGTTTCCCTGGCCGGGTCCCTGGCCATTTCCCTGGCCGGTTCCCTGGCCGGGTCCCTGGCTGGGTCCCTGGTCGTTTCCCTTGCCGGTTCCCTTGCCGTTTCCCTTGCCGTTTCCCTGGCCGTTTCCCTGGCCGGGTCCCTGGCCATTTCCCTGGCCGGGTCCCTGGCCGGTTCCCTGGACGTTTCCTTGGCCGGGTCCCGTGCCGGGTCCCTGGCCGGTGCTGGAGCCGGTAGGACCGCTGTTTCTTCTCGTTCGGCAGGCTCAATTTGTAAAGGTGGAGGAGATACAAGCGCTGTCTCTGACTCTTCTATTGTTTTTACAAAAGCTTCCTGGTTCTGGACAAGAGTTTCTTCATGTCGTTCCGTTTTGGGTTCTTTTACATCTTCTGGTTCATTATCCACTTCTGGTTCTTCAGGAGTAAACCTTACATCTAGCAACAGATAGAAAAATGCATTTGTTAATGAACGTGAGCTTCATGTGACACTGAAAGTCTGATTTGTCTGTTTTTCTTTGAAAAACGAAAAAACTATCACATGTAAAAGAGCACCGATGACACAACATGATTTGATAGTGCCACCTAGAGATATTCAATAAAAAGATTGTGTTTATTTATAAGGGATGTTCTAAGAGATACTCTTGGTCAATTTAGACATCATCAGCATATAAATGAAATATCATTGAGCAACAACCCAAGCGTATTAACTAAAAAGTGGCCCAGGAAAACCGGTCTGGAGCAGAGAAGGTCCCAAAGAAAGGAGAAAGCTTGTTGTGGTTCATAGTCAGGGAGAACTGTTAAGGGTTACAGAAGCAGGGACAGTGGTAGATCTGGGAAAGACTGGAGAAGAAAAAGCTCACTTTGAAAGATATGTGGAGCATGCAGGAAAGTAAAATTAGGTTTATTGCCAACTCCTAGAACCTAAAACTCTGCGTAAATGGAGACCCATCGTGTTAATTATGTCCAGATACTGCAACTCAGAGGCATATTTTCTCTAGCTCAAAGGTCAGTCTGTCACAAGACCAGTATACGTGGAGACTCAACCAGGTTTTAAGAAGCTTAGCTGAAGGTGTTGAAGATAAGCCACTGTATGTTCATTTAGGAGGGTCTAAGACGAAGAGAGTGGCAATTCAGTTTGTTTAAGAACGGGAGAAAGTTAAAAAAGACAGTAAGAACCAGGGTAGCTTAGAGGATATTTTTGATTGGGGGATACTGGTAGTTTTATGAGGAAAACTTGCTGTTCCCTGGGAAATAGCCTCCATAAATCTATGGCCTGATATAGTCTTATGGTCGAGGGATAGAAGGAGTCAGTTTCGTAGAGCTGACGAGTCTTAGGTATGTGGAGTTAGGGGCAGAAGTAGAGCAATCAGAATCGCAAGTTCAAAATGAGAATCGAACATTAGGATTTGTCCAGTAGAAGCAGGATGTAGAGGATTTTTTTGCTACCTCATTGCTCACTTGATTGGGATGCTTGTGATTAGGAGATACCGGTAGATATAGGAAGAAAGCTTGTCGTTACCCAGGATATAACCTCTACATATCTAAGGCCTATCTAAGACTAGAATGATTGTCTGTTTTATAGACCTGACTGTTCCTTGGAAGGACTTAGTAGAAGAAGCATATTAGACATGTGGACTTAGGGGCAGAGACAGATCAGCGAGGATGGAAAGTTAGAATCTGTCCAATGGAGGTAGGGTGTAGAGGATTTGTTGCAAGGTTGTTGAGGGAGTTGGGTGTAAGTGGACAGAGTGGGAGAAAAATAGTGGAGGACATGTCAGATGAGGCAGTCTAGTCACTGGATTTGGATTAGAAGAAGCAATAGTAGCTGGGGGGCTAAGGCCGTGGACTCAGGGTAAACAGACTCTTGGGATAAGCAAGGAGCAAATCCAGTAATTATTTAAGAGGAGGGTGTGTAGCACAGTTTTCTTGTGTTTACGTTGAATTCAGTATAGTTCTACATATCAAATACCCAACTTTTGAGAGATTTTCCTTTTACTAAAATGACATTTCTAAATGAATTCGACATGTAGTGTCAAAGTTTGAAAATGTTACATTTCTACAAGCTAGCTCTGACTCACCCTTGATAAAATCAATGCTTCGCAGAGCTGTCTCTTCTTTGCTGAAACTAAAGCGATAGTCGCTCATCTTCTCATAACCCGGCTTCAGAGTCTCAGAGGGGCTGGAAGTGGCTGCTGCCATTACTCTAAAATGAAATGAGCGGAGAAGGGGAATGAAAAATGGACAGAAGGAGGTAAATTACATATCAAAAGGATACATACAAAGCAAACGTAATCTGACTTCTATGGAGATTATTTTGTGGGAAAAAATGCATTAATCAATCATTTAAACTCACCGTGTGATCAGTTGTTTGGAACTCTGAGGATGGGGAGGATGAATAAGAGAAAAAGATGGATTTAAAAGATTTGATGCAAACATGGAACCATTAAAAAAAGGATACACTTCAGATTTTTATTTCAGAAGTATTTGTACAGAAAAAACAAAACTGCTCTTGCAGCTTTAAAGTTTTCTCTGATATCTGATTTTACACTTTATTTTTCCCCATTCTGTTTTCTTCATTATGTTCTTCAGTTATTGTCGTCCAATATTATTATATTAAATATCTTCTCATATCATATATTTGATTATATTATCATATTATATCAATTAGGATTTGATCCTCCGATCCACTCTCACCTTTTTTCGCAGTTAATCTCAACTGCAGACGTTTGGTCAGCAGTCCCCCCCATTCCCTACCCTCCCCACCCTGTTCTTTTTTAAATAAACCTCCTGTAAAAATTCAATTCGATTGCGATCGGCGATTTCATGCGCAGCTTTAAAAAGTCGGAAGGGTTTAGTTGAGAGAGAACCTGAACAAAGGCAACTTCATCCTGGTCCTCCATGCTGGTCTTTGCTGTCTCCATCAGTTTGCTGTTGGCCTCCATGCTGTCGCCATAGTGACGCAACAGCTTCTGGACATGGGCTATCTTCTCTTCCTGCTCAGACTTTATTTTCTGAGTCATCGCCTGTTTGAAGACAATTATGATAATTATAGGACATATCATTATGTATATATACAGATATATATATTTTATTTTATTTTATTTTTTCCCATAACACCTCAGAGAGAAACTTTTTTAGCTATAGAGTGACTCAAGATGGAATTTCATTGTTTTCAATTCCAAGACTTGAATAATTTGAATGATCTTTTTGATACACTCGGACTTACTGACTGACTTACTGGGGATATCTGTGCTGTGACTGGCTGGCCTGCACCTAAACTCTTCCTCAACAACATTAGTTAGCAGACCTGGACAGCTGTAAATGGAAAACCAAAAAGAAAAAGCCTTTTCCTCCACAAACAAACAGACGCAAAGTCTCAGGTCTTATTTCTGCTGGACCTGAGATCCCCCTTTGAAATAGTGTACCATGTGAATCTCTTACAGATGATAGAAGACTGGGGGAGGTGGGGGGTGTAATCTCTGGTATGGCTTTAAACTGGTCTGACCTGTGGGGTTCCCCAGGGATCAATCCTGGGACTCCTATTGTTCAATCTGTACATGCTTCCGTTAGGCCAGCTAATAATCACCATAATTTGTCCTAACACAACTATGCTGATGACACTCAGATCTATGTGTTACTGATAACCGGAGAACATGGATGGATGAACGGAGCTTTAATTTTATGTGCATTACAGTCACCAACAAAGTGTAATTACTAAAGTCTTGACTTCATATTGCATTGATCATACTGACCTTGTGTCGGTCCTCCAGGATGGAAACAATGTGGCTGAACTTCTCACAAACACTCTGTTTCTGAGTATTACAATTTTCCTACGGCGGATAAAAAGGAAATACATGTTCATGATAAAGGGAATGCTAAATGTGAAAGGTGTTTCACATAATGCAGGAACTAATATGGTCTTGATGAGACCCACAAGTGAACCATCAGAACCAAAAATAATTAAATCAACATAATTTGATATCAGCCAAGTCCACAAACATACCTCAACGTTTCTACAGCTTTTCTCCAGGTCACTGATGACGGCCTGGACTCTGGCCCTGAACGCTGCCAGAGAAGTAACTTCTTCCCTCAACTCATCCTGAACAGAGGAAATATATTTTAGATTTTAGTATTTCAAATGTTGACCTAGTTAAAGCCAAGATAAACTGTTTATACAGGATTTGCTCCTTCAGTCATTACCTCATTTCAAACACTTTTCAATGTTGTTGTAAAATAAAAAAGTCATATCATATATCACATATCATGTTATGTTATGTCATGTAATTTCATGTCATGTCATGTCATGTCATGTCATGTAATTTCATGTCATGTCATGTCATGTCATGTCATGTCATGTCATATATCATATATCATATATCATATCATAGCACATCATATATCATATAATATATCATGTGATATAATTTATTATATCATATCATATCATACATCACTTCATGTCATGTCATGTCATTTATCATACATCATATCATATCATGTTATGTTATGTTATGTTATGTTCTATCAAATCATGTCATGTCATGTCATATATCATACATCATACATCATACCATATCATTTCATATCATATCATATCATATCATATCATATCATATCATATCATATCATATCATATCATATCATATCATATCATATCATATATCATATTATATCATGTCATGTCATATATCATACATCATACATCATACATCATACATCATATATCATATCATATATCATATATCATATAATTTCATATTGTATCATATATCATATCATGTTATTTTATGTTATGGTATGTTATGTTATGTCATGTCATGTCATGTCATGTCATGTCATGTCATGTCATGTCATGTCATGTCATGTCATATAATTTCATATCATATCATATAATTTCATATCATATCATATCATATCATATCATATCATATCCTATCATACCTTCTGTTTCTCGTAGATGTCTGTCAGAGGAGCCACCTGACAGGACTGATGGGCCCCGAACACTTTGCAGAGGGAACATGTAGGAACCTTACAGGTGATACAGTAGATGTTCACCTTTTCCCCCTCATGGTCAGAACATGTTGGAAACTGATCAGGCGGTGGAGCAGAAGGGAGGGGGCTGGAAACAAGAAGATCAAAAGTGTGTCATAGTCTCGTTTTCTTAGACTTGGAATTTGAATTCTGTCTCTGTCTTTCTCCACCTGGTTGCATCGTTGAGCGTCTCTTTGTAGACGTCGATGATGTTCTCCACCAGCAGGTTCCTCTGCAGCCCGTAGACACCGTGACGATCCAGCACCACCTCCTGTCTGCAGGACGGACAGCGGAAACGCCCGCTGTTCACCTGCATGGTGGTCCGGGCCTGGAACAGCGATGGCTGCACACAAGCAATTACAATTTCAAAAAAGGAAAAAAAACTTTGTCTGACAATACAGTGGGGGAAATAAGTATTTGACCCCTTGCTGTTTCTGCAGGTTTGCCCACTTACAAATAATGCTTATTTTTCCTCATCAGATGGTTATCAATTTTTATAAATTCATATGATGTGATTTTCGGGAATTTTCTTTGGGATTCTGTCTTTCACTGTTAGAATGTACATATGATTAAAGTTATAGATTGTTGCATTGTTTGTAAGTGGGCAAACCTGCAAAATCAGCAAGGGGTCAAATACTTATTTCCCCCACTGTATGTAACTGTCCATTATTGAGGGCAAAGGTGTTTAAAGGACTTGAATTGTCTAATGTCGTAGATGTCAGTTAACAAGATCCCAAATCCCAGAAAAACTGAATTAAGAATCCAAAAAAGACAGAAAATGTCCGAAATGAAAGTAAAAGAAAACATCAAAATGTAATAAGGAAATCAAAGGAGGATACATATAACCAAGAATAATAGAAAACTACTAATGAAAGACGAAAAACTGCAGAGAAAATTGAATATCCAAAAAGAAATATGCAAAAATCCCTCAAAATAAAGGAAAATAATCCTCAACAGGAAGACACAAAATGAGAAAAAAAGAATGGCGTCTATTTTTTTTTTGTTGTATTTGCTATTGGATCAGATCTCTTATCATTTGTCCATGTCTGCACGACCCAAACAAGTTTGCAGGAATTTACCTTTTCACTTAGCTAAGTCCTTTTTTTAAAATGACCATTTCCTCTTCTAATAGCACTTGTGTTTGAATGAAAACATACTAAAATAATAGTAGCTGGAAAATAATTAGATCAAGACAGCCTGGAAGAGGTCAGGAAAGCAGCAGGATGGATGAAGCAATGGGAAAAGGGACAGGTGAACGGGGAGAGGGATGCGGGGTTACGGGGTAAAGCTGCCTGAAATAGCGCCCTGCAACGAGCCACAGCTGTTGCCCGACCTGACTCAGAGACCAGAGACGTGCTACTGGACTACAAATCTGGATGAACCTCTTGTACTCTAAAAATTGTTACCAAAGGTTTACCTGAATCTAGTGAAAGAACACCACTTTTCAAACAAAAACAGCTAAATCTGAACATTTCCAACAACAGAAGCTCATATATTTGAGATTCTACATATGATTTTTCTTTATATGCCCATTTTTATTCAACCTGACTTCATTACAACATCCTTTTTTTTGTGTGTGAGTCTGTTAGCTTGATTGGATAAGCTGAGAGAATGTTGTGTTTCCATATTCTGGAGTTGTACGTCCCAAAGACAGAGAGGTTTAGTTGGGGTCAACGTGTCCAAAGAGGGTGCCAGAGAAGTTCTGCTTCATTTTGGTCCACATTTAGGTGCGCGTGTTTACCGCATGCCGACCCCTCGGTGTCAAAGGTCGGTGGTCAGACTAGTAGA